GCTTCTTTATTGCCAAAAGAGGATGGATGTCACTGGGCCTGCTGGCACTTCCATAATGATACTGTAGGGAGCTCTCTGCTTCCCTCTGGCTTTTACTACTATGCTAGGGTGCCTAGAGGTCCCATTTCTCTTTGAGAAAAGAGGTCATATTAGAAAATAGGCCAGAGAAAGGAACTCCTAGAGGAAAAAGGGATGTAGGGGGTGGACTTATTCTTGATAGTTTTCATTTAGCTGCAGATATGGTAGGTGTTAGCCAGGACACCTCAATTTTGGGCTATTTGCTTCCCCCAAATAAAAGTTGTCTGCATTACAAAACCACTGCACATAATTCTGCCTGGCTTGATATGTAATGCTGGCTTTGCAGAATAAATGCTCAAGGATAAATCTTGCATGACAAATAAATCGCCTCTTGCTCTCCTTGGCTCCTTCAGGTGAGACAGAGATATAATGTAGAGTCAGCTAATGTGCAGACCTAGCAGAAAAATGGATCTTTTTTCCTGCGTTAGGCATGTCATCAGAGGTGATATTTGAGACAAGTCTCTTACAGGTGCAGCTGAATCAATAAGGTTTTTTTCCCCCAGCTAACTCCTCTTCTTCCATTTCATAAATTCGTATTCTTAACAAGAGAAAAGGAAGCAGATGTTACTAAGTACAATGTTTCATATCATATGGATCTCTCTTTTTTTTGGCACATTGCTGCTTCAATAAGCCATTTTCAGCAGTTTTGAGAAGGTTTTTTACATACTGTTTTCACTTAGGGCAGTGCAAATTTCTTTGGAAATCTATGACAATCAATTAAGTAAATGAGAGAATAGAATGCTTGTAATTAAGATAATCAAACTACATGAAATCCATCCTACAAGTGCTAATATCTGTATATCTCCAAGCTGTCTATTAATTAAACACCATGTAAGTGTTGCAATTAGGCTGCTTTTGTGAAAACGAGAGAAAGATGAAAATGATCGGAAGGGTTTCACTGTATGTTGGTTTAAAGCATCTCATTATGGTTTGTAAGGTTGCTGCATTGCTGCAGACACTCCTGGGATACCTGAGAACTCTGTTGCAGGCTTGAGCTGCTTCTGAAACAGGTGACCCAAAGCAAATATACTTTGGTTTCCAAAAGCTACATTTCTGCTCAGGGATGGGTGTTATTTTCCCCTCAGTTTCATAAATGAAGCCAGTGGTCAAGATGTTAGGTATTTCCTTCTACATAAGGAAGAAGAGAGGGAGGAATTTTTACGACTAGTTCTTATAATAAAAGGGAAGTTTTGCTACTGTTGTGTTATTTTGTCTTGTGTTTTTATTTTGTTGTGAGGACCCTGAAGTCACCCAGACCTTCCTGCTAGAAAAAACAGCATCTTCATATATTTGTGTTGGTAGACAAACACTACACGAGGCTAACTGGGTAATCTGGGTGTATTCACACTGTGATTCTTCATTTATTTGCTGGTGCTTTTGGGGGGCTTGGGGAAGTAAAAGGCTCTGTCATGTATCTATGAGAGATCAGGGGAGGACCCTTTCCCTCTGTTTAGGTACCCTCCTGGTGGTCACACAGCAACTTCAAAGCACTTTATTGTGTTTTTGTGAGATGTAGGTTTTGGGGCATTTGTGCTTTCTCTTTTTCTCCTGTGTGTAACTTTTGATGGCTGCAAGCACACATGGTAAGACACGATGGAGGCAGCAGAAGAACCATGTTGTAGGGCCAAGGGAGTCAAAAAGCTTCATCGCCTTAGAACAGCCAGACTTTGGTCTCATTGGCTGGGGCTGCCAAACCAGCTAAACAGGGCAAAGCAGAGGATGAACCCATCTGCTACTTTGTCAGATATTGTCATGGCCACTTATAATATTATGTCTTTGGCTTCAAAGGCAGTAGTACACCTGATCCATGTGGACATCAGCTTGATGAAGTTGTTGCACAAATGATAAATAAAAGTAGTATTTGGGGTTTTTTATTTTTTCAGTTATTATTTTAAAATCTGCTTTTACAGCACAATATTCTTCCTTATGACAAATGAGCCTATTCACTGATACTGTGTTTTCAGATAATACCATTTACATTTCTAGAATGTAGTGAATAAGAAAACTTACAGGACATCTTTAATTTTTCACTTGATTTTGTCATTTTGTTTTTGTTAAATTTTTTTTATTTTTGACATTGATACAAAAAATAGTATCTTGATTAGCAGCTTTGCTGGCAATCCCACAAAACTGTAAATAATACATTAATCTAAAAGAATACACTCCTACAGACACTATAGATAAAACAATATATACAATTTAGACAAATAAATACATAAGTACAGCCAGTCATATATAATGATACACCTAAAGTTTGGTTACTGTTGACAAGCTTTTCTAGTTAATTACACTCTTCATTTACAAATTGCCATTGCCATCTACATTGGAAAGACAAAAAAATCCCAATCAAGAATCAAAATTGATACTCATTATTATTAGGAAAGATGGAAAATGAACCTTGAGACTTCTGTTCAAATACTCTCATGGTTTTAGCAAAAAAAAAGAAGAAACGCTTTTGTGGAAAAACTCCTCCTAAAGAGAGGCACTTCCCCCTCAACCTGCTTTGCTCAATGTGCTTTGTTCATGTACATTTGGAATCAAGATGTGATTATAGTCACACTTTTGATGTGACTGGAAGCCAGCATGTCTAACCAAGTTGTCATTTGTCCCATGCTCAGTGAAACAAAATGACCTTTATGGTAATGTAAATACTTCTTTGATTAAAGGAAGTCTATTGCAAATATTTGTTTGTTAACAGTATTCCATGTGGCAAAAATACTACTAAGTGGAAGGGGCAGCTGTCTCTGTGAGTAGGTGTATTGCTCCTTTTCTGTCTGCAGGTTGCAATACTGAAATTTCTGAGCAAAGAGAAAATAATAACTCTTAAATGTAACAAGCAAGTGAAATTTAATATCAGAAAAATAATAGAAGTAGAAAATTAGATTTTTGTTGTGTTGCATTAAATTCACTTGACAGCAAAAGAAAAAATATCTTGTACATTCAAAAGTTAGGGCACACATGCTTAAGGCTCTTGAAACACTGGACAAATATGCCTCACTCAGCTCCATGCATAACAGAATGCTACATAGCAAGCAGACTTACACATATATACAAGCTGAATACAGAAGAAAATGCCTTAGAAATATGTACATCAGTTTCAAGATGAACATTCACATTTCTGTTGAAGATCTATCTATTTATAAATGGCAGGAAATACACTTTTTCAGATACTATTTTCAGGGTATACCTTGCAGCCACTAATGCAGTCTACTTGTGGTAGGAGAAATGCAAGGCTACCGTGCTGCTTGAGCCCTGAGGTATCTGGACTGGGAGCCTTGCTGTCCTCTTGGTTACTAACCAAAGGCCACAGGAGCATCAGCAGAAGTAAGGCAACCAAATCCATTCAGGTGTGGATTCAGAAACCCCAAATTACTGCACAGTGCAGAGGGATAGCAGAAGTGATTGCGGCCTGTGGGTTCAAATCATTACAAAGTGTGTTCCTGGTAGGGTGGCATCTATGCTGTCTGACTTACCCAAGGGCTGGGGATGAATTCCAGCCTCCTTTCTGTTCATAAAGAATCATATTCTGGGGCTTGGGTAAGAAAAGCTGAACTTCATCCAATCACTGTGTTATATATTCACTTATGCAGTTAGTTGTACCTTGTTTAGCTGGAGTTCTGAGTTTGACAGGAAGCGCAACTTTAACAATGACTAGAACAACTAGGGAAGGATAAATCTTAATTATACTGCAAGAGATTCAGTATTTTTATAAAAATAACTGATTTTTTTTTTTTAATTTTAAATTTATGAAGGCTACACAAGCTCCTGTTGATTAACAGTAACTCTTAGGCTGTCTGCTGTATAGCTTCACCTTAGATTTGTTTGAGATGGCTCCTGCTAGTGACTTAAAGGCCAGGCACGCTTTACCTTACTTACAAGTAGTTTCTTTCAAAATGATAGTGCTGCATCTGTGAACAACACTAACAATATGACACGAAACTGCAAACCTTTTAGGGTAGCATCTTCCTTTCTCTGTTACTGTTGTAAAGTGCTACTTCCTTTAAATTCTTCTTCCGTTAATTTCTGACAACTTTACAGACATCCTGAATAACATACAGACAGAACAATTTTGCATATGTTGCACGTAGTGCCAGGTGAAATGAATGAGGCTTTTGTGTGTGCTGTGGACGGTGTGAGTCATCTACAGCTAATAATATATTTGGTGAGTTTTGTATCTTTGTAACTTGTCTGTGAGCTCTTCATTCCAAGTTATTTGTTGAGTGATATCGTATTTTATTTCTTTGTTATAAGATGGTGCTGAATAGAGAGAGCTTGAATTTATCAAAGAGTTTTCATGACATTTCATAAGCATATTGAAAACACATACAAGCACATTATACAACTTGAATAAAATCTTGTGTATTTGAGTTCTGTTGCATGCTCAGGGGATCTCCTGAGTGGCACCTCAGTGAGTGTTGGCTCTGTGATAAGTAACCTGAGAGCTTTAACAGGTTTTTAAAAAAGGCTAGAATTTTTTGTTGTTGTTTGGGTTTTACTAGATGCTTCTTAAAAGCTGTGAAATTTGTACATAAGTCTTATGCACTCTGCTGTGCAATTGACAGAAAATTGATTCCATTCTTTTATTGGACTAAATTCTTCCTTTCTACACCATTAAAAATCTGGTAGAATCTCATTCCTGTATGTACTGTAGCAAAAAGTAGAGCTTACTCGTACAAAGCTGCTTTTGTGTTACTTTTTTTTTTTAGGTAAATATGGCACTGACTGACACTGAAGAAATATGCTGCTTATTAACACTTTTAGCATTCAATATGATTCAATATTGCTATGCCAGAGATTTAATTGAGAAACCATTGATACTTACGAGAGACATTGCCTTGCTTTGAAATTAAAATATAGTAATGCTTTTCTCGTGTATTTTTAAGATAATTTTTCATACATCTCCTGTGTATTATTTTTCCTACAAATTCTACTGAATTTTTAAACTGTGTTACATATTTTATGGGCTATTTGAGGAAGTGTAAAGAAACGTACTGTCTTCTGAAATAAATTAAAGAAATATCATTTGGTAGATGAAAATATACTTCAGTGTGTGGGTTTGTTTCTAAGGCCAATGGGACTTTGATGTTCTTACCTGTCTAAGTTCTGCTATTACACCATCAGTAAGCTATTTGGGAACTGCACACATTGTACTATCAAATATACATGTCAAGGTAGGTATATAACTTCAGTGCAAATGTAGACTGCTTAATTTATTAACACAGCTCTAAATAGAGACGGTTGTAGGGTGTCAAAAAAGAATAAAAGTTTCTTAGGGTCTGAGTCTTACCTCAGAGGCTGGGGCATGAACTGTTAAGCAGCTCATAATAGCTTATTACTGTCCTTTTGCACACAGATGCAAGAGCTGATATGTGTGATAGATGATAATATACAAAATCTGAGACTTGACTCGAGTTCCTTTCGGTTGGTGTAATGTCCTTACCAAAAAGAGCCTGAAGTTTGTAAACCAGAAGTCAAAGTGAGAATGAAAAATCAGTCATAAAAATCCTCTCACAGTTAATATCCCACAGTTTAACTTGTAAATCAGCAGATCACTTTGTCAAAAAATAACCCGACTAAACCAAAATTAAAAAAAAAGGTATTTACATCTGTAAAAATCTTAACATCTAAGATGTTTCTTGCTGGACATGTCATTCCAAATTCTGTGCATTTCTTCTGGTGTTATCTGGTGTACTGTGATCACCCTGCGGTACCTGCACAAGCTGTAGGCCATTTTCCAGTGATTAAAGCCACTGTTTTGGAAGGGGTGAATGCCCAGTTTCCGAAGGCAAAGTCCAACATACACATCTTCAAGATGAAGAAGTCTGGTATGAAGGGAGGTTTTGTAAATCAGTTCTGCTACGTCAGCTGAAAAAATGTAGCCAGTGCCTGAACAGAAGGGTGGGTAATTGCTGTCGGGATACAAATCTCTCGGCATGTACCACTTACTGCGAACATCTCTTATTGGTCCTCCGTTTATAACGTAACCAGTGAAGTACCTTCTCCTTGGCTTGGTGTTAGGTTTGAGCAGCTTATAAATAAGATTGTCCATATTTACAAAAATATCACTGTCTGTCTTCATAACGTACTTTGCTTTTGAACAAAACGTTGCTACCCACCTCATCCCCATCAATGTTTTCAGAGTGAGGTTATGGTAAGAGTCGATAAAATCCTCCACGATAATGTCATGAAAAATTTGGCTTTCTTGCTCTACCATTTGATTTAACACAGGATCTGTATTTTTTCCAAGAAGAAATAGTGTGGCGATTTTAATTCCTTTAAAGTTGTTTTCGTCTCCCCATGTTTCTCGAATGGCTTGCCTTGCATCAAACTCTTTGTGAGTTGTGCTGATAAGAATGACCAAGAAAGGGACGTTCTTCTCACATTTGTTGGGTTCATTGATAAGAAAATCAAAGGAATGTGGATTTATAGGTCGAGTTCTTATGTTGCCAAAGGAAACGTTTTTTCTGGCTATGGATATGCTACTGACCTGTCTGTGGCCAGTGTAGGAAGAAGTAGGACGAGTTATACTTAAGTACCAAAGAGCGCTTGCCCAACAAACTACTGTCAAAATGTATAAGCATGAGACCTTTGAAGCCATTGTTCCTCTAGCTCTTCTATTCCATGTGATGAATAAACCTTTGTACGAGGAGCCCACCTATGTCCTGGAGAGGCAGCATATTATTAATGAAACTTGAAAGTTCGATATAAAAAAGTAACTCTGTAATCATTCATGGATCTCAAATAGGAGCTATTAACCCTGATGATACTCAGCTTTTCTTCTTTTACTAGCAGCGACTTCCATTTCTTGGAATTTTCTGTTATTTCTGAAAAATACGAAGAAAAATTTTCCATTGCTAGATCATAAAAGCCCGGGGCAAGAAAATGAGCTGGCTATTAATAAGCTAAGTGTCTTAATGCATTTCTCAGATATTCCTTTTTTTCTCATGAGGTACCACAATGCAGGATAGTGTACTAAAATAGAGCAGTGTAACTGAACTAATGCTTTTATGACTGGTTATTTCTCATAGATGGTTTTATATAAAAAACATGCTGATATTTAGATAATTTAAATGGTATATGAAAATAATTTTCTGGTTTCTAGCATTTTCTTGCTTCCTAACATTTTTTCTGGACAATCTTTCAAAATGTGCTTTGGAACATTTTAAAATTATTTAAAGAATGAAAAATAATGTACTTTATCTTAGGATCAACAGCGTCTGTGGCAGCTATGCACGTGAATACCTACAAATCTAATTTGGCCTTAATGTTGTTAATGTCTGTCCTGCTAAAAGCATGCTTTGGTGGAAATCAGACAGAATGGGACTGCTTGGTAAAGGTACAGGAGAGGGAGAGAGAGAGATGCATATGCTGTCTTACCCATGTAAAGATCAGCGCTCGAGTAGAGTCCATAAAAGTCTAGAAATAAATTAATACAGTTCAGTTATTTTTGTTGGCTTGTTTCTCCTCTCCCCCCAAACCGGTCTTTTCATAAGCAAACATCATTTGTGTCCCATTAAAATAAACCACGATGACAGCCTAGTAACGGTGTTGCCTTGCTGGTTAACGTGCAGAGCACTTGCCAGCCTGGCCAGGGTTCCTGCAGCCCTATCCTGCTGCTGTTCCAGTCTTGCTTCCAGTATCGGGTGGCTTTGAAGCTTTCCTGGATCCAGGGAGTGTGCAAGCCCTGCTTCTTCTTAGCTCTTAACAAGTTGGCTGGGAACCAGTTCTGTTTATCATCATTTCATGGATATTAGACAAGCTGCCTCAAGCCTGCCAGGTCAGTGCTGACTCCTCCAAGGAACACCAGCAGCTGGAGACTGCCTGCAGGCTCCACCTTCCTGGGTTTTACCACTGCGTTAGCTCAGAGCTAAAGGACAGCAGAAGCATGCAACAGAGGAGCTTTTTTGCAAGAGTCTTTGAAATATTTAACATTTGCTTTGGATAGAACAAAGAAATATATGGATTTGGATAAAAAGATAGAAGCTCTTTTTAGAAATGTCTTTTTTGATTTCACGCTGCTTTGACACAGACCCCCCCCCCTCTCCCTAGGTAGGCTGTCAGAGGGGAAGGACTGTTACCCTCTGTCACTATTTCACACTCAGGTTTAAGAACAGGAGAGAAACAATTTTAACATTTGCTAAATCCATACAAACTGTAATCTTCTTACAAGTTCTTATAGTCTGTCCTGCTCATCTTAATTACATGCACTTTTAGTTATTTAATGACCAGAACCTACATACTGCTCTTCCCTTCCACAAAATAGGGTAATGTGAATTTTTCACCTGTTCCAGAGCTCTATCAGTTTCAATTGCTTTTGCCCTATACCTGAGGGAATTTAATGAAGTAGAGGTTGACTGTGATCTCCTTCATTACCTGCCCCAAGACCCAGGGTCTGTGATATTTTCCCACCAAGTAGTACCAGCAAACATTTGGGAGCAGTGTATTTAAGTGAGACTTTTAATTGCTCCATAGGGCTGCAAAGCACAATGATCTTGGCACGGCAGGCACATGTACATCCTTAAGAATAAATACAGTAGCGATAAATATACACACAAATGCTACTGTAATGTCTGGAGAGGGGATCTATGCTGCTGTAACAACCCACTGTGATACAGTTCTGAGAAAGGCAAATCACATCCCTGATCTGGTGGGTTGGCTTTGTTTCTGGTTTCATTTTTGAGCTCTGCAAACCAACCCCCCTGGAAATGCCAGAGAGGAAAACCACCAAGTGAGAAATGCCATAATGGAATGAAGACATAAGAGTGTAAAGTCTAGAAAACTGTGTTAATAGAGCAAGAAATACAGAAATCATGGATTGGAGATGTAGAGCGAGAGCTATGTAGGTCAGTGTATATAATGGACTTCTGCATTAAGATCTCACAAATAAGTATAATATTCTGCATATGATGAATTATTTTAGGAGACTATATATTGCAGTGTCTAAATGTGTATGGTGTTCTACATCTTTTCTTTCATAAAGGCAGGTGCATTAGTTACCATGAACACTGTGCAGATATCTGAGGGAAAGGAAAATTGCAACCACTGCCTCTTACAAACTACAAAATTACATAAAATAGCTTTTCAGTCCAGCAATGTCATAGCTGTGATATCCAATCTTGTGTGCTCTGAAAGGATTAGAAGCAACAAAAACCTTACTCCATTTTGAAGAAAAATCCCGAGGTATTGTAGGGATTTTTTTTTTCCTCTCAGTTATGAGAGTTTTCTCAGTTATTTTCTCAGATAACTGTGTGGGATGAATGTTTATTATGTTGGCCCTTCAATTGCTGTCTCTTGAAACAAGTTTATCGTTTTCTGTTGTGTGCTTTGTTGGGAGTTTTTGTTTGTTTTGATTTAAAAAAAAAAAAAAAATATGAGTTCAGATGGTATGCCTTGGCTTGGAGTGTTTACGCCATCCCTCTGGTAACTTTTGAGCAAAATGCAGGTAAAAGGGTTAAGAGTGAACTGGCTGTAGTTTTCCCTATGAGTGAGGTTTTAAATTTAATTACTTTTTGGGAAGATTGAGGAGGAAAAGCAAAAGAGAGCTTTCTCCTTTCCTGTGATGGGTCTCTCTGCTATTCCTACTCTGTCAGGAGGTAAAGATGTAACAATTAAAGTTCATGTTTCTGCTTTACTTGAGCTTTTTGCTATGAATGGGGAAGAAATTTGAAAGAAAATAGTATAAGCAAAATTGGCCAATAATATAAATACAACACTAAGTTAGCTGAGGAGTCTTGGTCTGTAATTAAGGTGAGATTATTGTTGCCTCCAGAACCGATCTCTCTCCCTCTTTGTAAGTATCACAGAGGGGGTTGAATAAGTAGCTATGCCATGTATTTTTTTTGGACACAATCAAATGATGCTACAAATTATTTCTGATAATATTGTTCCTGCACAGGAAATTCAATTACGTTTAGCTTGCACAAGTAAGAAAATACATAGTTTGATTAGGCAGGGAAATATGAACTAAGTAGTGAAACAGTTTGTGATGATTTAGTCAAGAATTTCAAAGGTTGCCAAATTCTATTATTAAAGACTGCTAATTAATCAAGGACCCAAATAAGCGCCTAACTTAGGCTTACCCTCAACACAGGAATTATTCTAGGAACCTTGCAAAATTATTCACAGTGTCAAAGCCTGTGATAGCAAACCTTTTCGTTGTCACGTGTTGTGACTTGAAAATAAAATTTTCAGCCATGCAACATGTGGGACTTGTATATCAGAAATGTGAGTTATACGGAATGAAATCAGAGGGTACAAATAGTGTACTCAAATTATAGTGAGTTAAAACTTTTGTTTTAATTCCTCATTTGGAGGAGGAGGAATAATGTATGTGAACTAAGATCACTATGATCTGAATAACAAGTGGAAATGCTTCAATGCCCACATGTTACTGTGGTTCTTTTAGCAGTTTCCTCAGCAGCTGTTCAGAACATTTTTAACCTAATCAATAGTACATAAAGCTGCCTTTAACAATAAAGTGTCTAGCAAATTCATTAATATACTGTGTTTTTGTCCTGATATGGGCTTCAGTACATCGTCACTGTAAGGAGGACTGTTTTGGTTTTGTTGTTGTTGTTTCTCAGTTTTGCCATGATCTTCTTGAATTTGGTATTGTAATTTGAAGATCCTGTGATGGGAGGATGTGGGTTATCACAGGGAGACTGAAAAGCTTTTATCAGCTTTGGATATTATCTGTTGGAATAGGCTGTGTAACATTTGGGGACACACACAGGCAAAGGGAAGTGACATCTCCTTTCCTTTCTCCTGTGGAGTGAAAGAAATCTTTTTAGCAGGGCAGTAGCAACGCTTTAAGCTCTTGGATTCTTGTTTTCAAAAATATTTTCATTCAATCTGTCCCTTTTCCCAGCCTGTTTGTCACACTATAAGTAATCAAAGGCTCAAGCTTTGCTAGGGTAGATGAGACTGTTGATCTTTCATTCAAGAAAGCCCAACCTATGTAAGTGCAGCAGCATTAATGTATCTAAGATCTTGGTGGATGCACAGGATAGAAACCACAGCTCTTGAAGTCTGGCTTGTTGCCACAGTTGTAATCCATACGGTGTCACTACTGCTGAGGCAGGTGCTGAGTGGAGGCAGGCAGGATGCTGAGCCCTGGGGATGACCCTGAGTGAGAAGTTGAGGGAGATCACAGCTGCTCATCCAGACACCCAGGAGTCTGCTAGGCAGAGCACAACTGAGTCAAATTAACACTTTGCATCTCTGCCAGAATGTACCTTGGAAAAAAAGAGGGAATGCAGCTGCTAAATTATTTAGTAAATATAGCAAACTCTTCTCGTTTTCCCCCAAGAGATGTTTTTGTAAGTTTTCTATGATCATGGCTTTCATCTGTATATAGACCAAGGCACTGAAATGCCTTCAACATTTACGAAGCCCTTAAATTACCAAATCTTGTTGAGAAGATAATTATCCTGAACATTAAGAACACATCTACAAAGAAATTTGGGGATGCTGTTATGTTCTTGGCTGCATGCTTTCATAGTAATTTCTTGACAGAAATTCTGGACAGATGGCATAGGTGATTCAACAGGAGATTGCAAGCTCCTCTCTGGCAACTTCCTTTGAAGGTTTCTTAAATATTCTAAATAGTTTTGCTATGCCTGGGTGTAATGGACCTGAAACCAAATCAGTGCTGCAAAGAAAGACCTTACTCTCTAGAACAAGCATTCATTTCAGGCCCATGTTTTTCAGAAAAATAAATTCCTCTATTTAGGGGATTCCTAGAAGAGACATGGGAGCTGCTAGGTTGGCCATGCACTGTTCAGTGGTTTTCACAGAGTAAACTCCCTAGGGGGTTGGGCAATAGCAATTGGCCTCAGAGTGTCTGGGAGGCAGCTGCCTTCCCTCATGGTGACCAGGAGCCCAGTATGCACCACATGTGGCTACACGGATCTTCTGTAGCTGCACTCTGTGCTGGGTCAGGAACTGGCTGGAGGGCCGGGCCCAGAGAGTGCTGGTGAACGGGGCTGCATCCAGCTGGCAGCCGGTCACCAGTGGTGTTCCCCAGGGATCAGTGCTGGGACCAGTCCTGTTTAACATCTTTATCGATGATTTAGATGAGGGGATTGAGTCCATCATCAGCAAATTTGCAG